ACTGCAGACTTAAGGTACAAAACACTGCCAACCTAAGGTACAAAACACTGCAGACTTCAGGTACAAAACACTGGCAACCTAAGGTACAAAACACTGCAGACTTAAGGTACAAAACACTGCCAACCTAAGGTACAAAACACTGCAGACTTCAGGTACAAAACACTGCAAACTTCAGGTACAAAACACTGCCAACCTAAGGTACAAAACACTGCCAACCTAAGGTACAAAACACTGCAGACTTCAGTTACAAAACACTGCCAACCTAAGGTACAAAACACTGCAGACTTAAGGTACAAAACACTGCCAACCTAAGGTACAAAACACTGCAGACTTCAGGTACAAAACACTGCCAACCTAAGGTACAAAACACTGCAGACTTCAGGTACAAAACACTGCAAACTTCAGGTACAAAACACTGCAGACTTCAGGTACAAAACACTGCAAACTTCAGGTACAAAACACTGCAGACTTCAGGTACAAAACACTGCAAACTTCAGGTACAAAACACTGCAAACTTCAGGTACAAAACACTGCCAACCTAAGGTACAAAACACTGCCAACCTAAGGTACAAAACACTGCAAACTTCAGGTACAAAACACTGCCAACCTAAGGTACAAAACACTGCAGACTTAAGGTACAAAACACTGCCAACCTAAGGTACAAAACACTGCAGACTTCAGGTACAAAACACTGCCAACCTAAGGTACAAAACACTGCCAACCTAAGGTACAAAACACTGCCAACCTAAGGTACAAAACACTGCCAACCTAAGGTACAAAACACTGCAGACTTCAGGTACAAAACACTGCAAACTTCAGGTACAAAACACTGCAGACTTCAGGTACAAAACACTGCAAACTTCAGGTACAAAACACTGCAGACTTCAGGTACAAAACACTGCAAACTTCAGGTACAAAACACTGCAAACTTCAGGTACAAAACACTGCAAACTTCAGTTACAAAACACTGCAAACTTCAGGTACAAAACACTGCCAACCTAAGGTACAAAACACTGCCAACCTAAGGTACAAAACACTGCAGACTTCAGGTACAAAACACTGCCAACCTAAGGTACAAAACACTGCAGACTTAAGGTACAAAACACTGCCAACCTAAGGTACAAAACACTGCAGACTTCAGGTACAAAACACTGGCAACCTAAGGTACAAAACACTGCAGACTTAAGGTACAAAACACTGCCAACCTAAGGTACAAAACACTGCAGACTTCAGGTACAAAACACTGCAAACTTCAGGTACAAAACACTGCCAACCTAAGGTACAAAACACTGCCAACCTAAGGTACAAAACACTGCAGACTTCAGGTACAAAACACTGCTAACCTAAGGTACAAAACACTGCAGACTTAAGGTACAAAACACTGCCAACCTAAGGTACAAAACACTGCCAACCTAAGGTACAAAACACTGCCAACCTAAGGTACAAAACACTGCAAACTTCAGGTACAAAACACAACTATGTATCAAACTCGTCGCCGTCCATTTCTTGTTTGTTTCATTAGCGGCCACAAAAAAATATGCGCGTATACTTTCTATCCGGTGTAAATCGGGAAAAAAAGGCGAAAACCCTTCTCGCCCGCCTTCTTTGACAATTTCTCAACACATCTACCCAACACTACTGATCAAAATTACGTACCTGACATTAAAGGAAACAAGAAAACAATGTTATTATGGTACAATGGTAAACATTGATTGAATAAAACCGTTTCCGCCCCCCTCCCCCCCCCCCCCAGGAGATAAGGGAAAATAGTAATACTAAATTATTAAATGTAACCTAAACTATAAGAAATATCAATTCTCAGGTACTTTAATAAATGAAGCTTCAGGTTTAATAATTTAATGGTTGTCATGGCAACGGTGTTATTTCTCTTATTATAGTAGTATGTAGTGCGTGTACCGTGAATTAAATATATTTCTATGTCAACGAGAGCAATCAATTATTACAAAAGCTTCCATTATCATCACTACTCGTTAAATGTGGACTGAAATCACTCACCTGAAAATATGCTGATGTTTCGACAGAATCACAATTATTTGTATTGTCGACTTCCAAATTAAAACATTAAGTTTACCCAGAAATCTATACGCAAACGAAGTCAGTGTGAAACCAACAAATAACAAAGAAATGCCATACACTGTATTATAAAATCAACTAGGTTTACAAATCAATATAAATTACTGTGCAACAACTACAATAGCAGTAAAGTACAATGGCGGCATAAAATACAGCAATAGAGGTAATGTCAAAACACTGGCATAAAACAATCAACACATACACACACACACATACATATTGTAAAGTTAAGCGTCATATTCTCACTGGCGTTATAGAATTTCAGGGAAAGTGATTTTTATTCAAGTTGACAGCTGTTGTTAAACGCCGCACTCTGAAATATTCCAGCTACTAGTATATGATGGCGGTCTGTAAATGATCGAGTCTGGACCAGACAATCCAAGGATTAAGTATGATGATCATCGATCCACGCAATTGGGATACGACGGCATGCATCAACCAAGTCAGCGAGCCTGACCACCCGATCCCGTTATTCGCCTCTTACGACAAGCATAATCGCTTTTTACGGCAAGCATGGGTTGCTGAAGACCTATTCCACCCCGGGATCTTCACGGGTCCAGTTAACCGAATCCGGTCAACGTCTATGCACAATAATAAGTAATGTATCGCACGGAAGAGTCTTTTGCTCCATCAGATTAAAGTAATGTTGAATCCCTCTTGACCAGGTGTCATGACCAGGTGTCATAGCCTGGTGTCAGCCTGGTGTCCGCCTGGTGTCCGCCTGGTGTCATAGCCTGGTGTCATAGCCTAATGTCATAACCAGGTGTCATAGCCTGGTGTCAGCCAGGTGTCATATCCTGGTGTCATGATCAGGTGTCATAGCCTGGTGTCCGCCTGGTGTCATGATCAGGTGTCATGGCCAGGTGTCATGACCAGGTGTCATAGCCTGGTGTCAGCCTGGTGTCATGACCAGGTGTCATAGCCAGGTGTCATGGCCAGGTGTCATAGCCTGGTGTCAGCCTGGTGTCCGCCTGGTTTCATGACCAGGTGTCATAGCCTGATGTCATGACCAGGTGTCATAGCCTGGTGTCAGCCTGGTGTCCGCCTGGTGTCATGACCAGGTGTCATAGCCTGGTGTCATGACCAGGTGTCATAGCCTGGTGTCAGCCTGGTGTCATAGCCTGGTGTCATGACCAGGTGTCATAGCCTCGTGTCATGACCAGGTGTCATAGCCTGGTGTCATGACCAGGTGTCATAGCCTGGTGTCAGCCTGGTGTCATGACCAGGTGTCATAGCCTGGTGTCATGACCTGGCCTCCGGCATCTAACCGACTTTTGTTATTTGTTTTTTCTTTATCTCCTTTGAGGACTGGAACAATGAAATTAAAAAAATTGCTTGAATGAACAAATGGTATCTACGTGGTTGGTTCAAATTATGCCAAGCCGATTTTCATTCTCCAGGCTAACTGAACTCCGGAAAATGTTCGCTCGTCATGCCAAAGACCCGGGCTCGATTCCCCACATGTGTGAAGCCCATCATTGGTGTCCCCGGCCGTGATATTGCTGGCATATTGCTAAAAGCGGCGTAAAACAATACTCACTCATCCACTCACTTACTGAATTCCCGATGATCCGGACAATACAGTACAGACGTCTAAGTTTGTTTTAAACATATTTTATTGACATATATGGTCAACGGGATTGGGCAAAAGTTATCCAACTTAGGTGGCCCCTTACCTAAGTTAGTAAATGTCAGGATAAACGAAGTCTTGGTACGCAGTTACGCCACTTTGTATAGAGTGAATGAATAGGGTTTTACGCCGCCAGAGGAGATGATATCTCGGCTTTGACAGAAATGTTTATATGTAACCCGGTACACAGACGTTGGTCGGAGTTTGCATCTTCGTGCACTGGTTTGTCTGGACCAGGCTCGACTACTTACAGACTGCTGTGAAATAACTTACTGAGGCAGAAACGCCACTCACTCTCTGACTCCTGTTGCTTTCAACATCGGCGTCGTTCGTTGTGGCCGCATTGGAAGTGTGAGTTGCATATGGCCGGTACTGTACGTCCCGTCATTCACCAGAGGCCCACACTGTGTGTTAACAAAGTATCTATTTGTCAGGATCAATGGCCTCGTTTTTCGCGTTATCATGAATTATAGCTTTTAGTAACATTAGACCTAAGATGCTATCCATCACATAGTATGTATCACTATATCGCACAGAAATAACTCGTTATCGACATTGATAATCCTACAGACAGACCCGCTGAATATTGACGGCCTGTGCCAAGCTCATCTGAGGCAATTAGTCACGGGCGGTCGAAGCGATAGACCGGGTTCGATTCCCAGATGGATACAGTGTTAAAGCTCCCCCTTATATATGCCTGGCATTTAAGAAATTTTGTATAATTGGGATAACACTTTCTTACAAACATACAGATTCTATTACTTTTTGGGTTGAGTCCCACCCGGGATTCGAGCCCACACTGCCTCACTCTGGCTCAACGGATGCGACTCAACCCCCAAAAGTACTAGAATCAATACTTTACAAAGACAGTATTCCAAATATAACATTTGTTACATTGTACCACTTTCTAAAATTGCCGGACAGAATAAAGTACACACATCCATTTTCGATGGAGCTTTTTGATAACGTTTTTAATTCTATGGAAATAAAAATTTGTAAGTCCATACTTTTGTTAGCCCAGGTGTATATTCAGATTGCTCTGTCCTCTACAATTATCTCATATACTGCAACTACATAGCATTCGGTTATATAAAACTTGCCATTTTTCGTCCCTTCAACTTGAAGGTTACGACAATCTGTGAGTGAGTTAAAGTGTTTACGTGGCATCAGCCATCAGCCATCTTTTCAACCCGACGAAACGGGTAAGGGACGTTCGTCTTTATTTGTTTCATGTTCAAGAAAACTTAATGTTAAAATATCAAAATCATTTTTTCAGACTTGATTTTACCCCCCAACAACCTGACTGTGCTCTCAGCGACAAAAACCCGTGCCTCACTCTACTGGATCGTACCACCTGACACCCCCTGCATCCTCCGATTTGAACTCACCTACGATCTAGTCGACTCTCCCTTTGGGAGATACAGTGTGACACGCGGTATCCATGGTGACCGACGTCAGGTGGCGCTCGTGGGGTTGATTCCGTGTCAGCGGTACCGTGTCTTCATGGTGTCTATAGGGACGACGGGTACGACCAGCAACTTCAGCAACGAGGTTGAGTTTACCACAACAGCGGGTGAGTTTCGACTTTCCGTCTTGTAGGTCATTGCATGTCATTCAATCATATTCAACCAGCTGGCTTTCGGCTGGTGACGTTCACTTTTTCGCCATCTTATAATCTTCCCTTTCAGAGCGCGGTAGTTTGAAGTTTGGTGAAAACTGACCACCATATATTGTGGAAATATTGAAGCGAGCGTAAAGCCTGGGATTTCTACTAAAAATATGTTTTCTTCATGTATGGGAGGTTGGCAGCCAATGTACATTTAAATTACATTTCGTAACACACAATGGAGGCAATTTACATTGAATTCAATACTTAGGGTATAAGGCTTTGTTGGTAGTAACAGAGCTTCCTTCACATACCTAGCTGCATTTCTGAGTATACAGTCATTTTTAAAATTTAAGAGATTGCTAACGGTATTAACACGTGGATTGTTATAACATCTGACAGGAATATACTTCTGTCTGAATGATGCGTAAAACGGGCAGATAAACACAAAATGGACTTCGTCCTCAATATAACCATTTTTGCATAGCCGACAAAAGCATTGTGAATAAACATCATGTCAAAATCACTCCGTACCTGGGGGTTTAATCACATGTCTGACGGAATGTAAACTCGAAGAAAAACGGGTGGAAAACAGTTCATATAGTATGTGTGGAACAAAGTGTTTTTATTGTGTAGACACTACAGACACTACACACACACACACACTACACATACACACACAGACACTACACACACACACAGACACACACACACTACACATACACACTATACACACATAGACACTACACACACACTACACACACACACACTACACATACACACACACACACACTACACACACACTGTTTTTGTTTCAACCAACAAGCGTGCCCTTGAGAATTATTATAGCGTCTGTGTTCATTTATTCCTTAAGCACAACGTGTCAAGTATACAAGATGTTCGTGAAACAAAATAAACCAGTGTCACTCAAAAAGCATAAACGGAATAAGATCATGTTCCTCGTGAGGAGAAAATGATGAGTCGCTCTTGGCACAACGCCAACCTGCAATCTCGTCTGATAAAACTGTTGCCTAACAATGTATGCAAACAAGTCACGTGATACTTATGTCAGGTGACAGGAATGTGTCACGTGACCCTTTGTATGAGAAGAACACATTTCAGGAAGCCAGTGATTTTTTTAGCTGTAATTACTTTAGCACACGTCCACTCGGCGTCCGTCCTTTTGACGTTGCTTTGAAAGAAACCCATTTCAGTCGCCGTGAGGGATATATATATTTGCAACGCCATGAATACTGTCACATTAGTTGAGTATATAAAGATAAGAGAAAGGAGATATAATATTGTCTTTCACTGGTGTACGTTACAGACATCTGATTGACATTATGAGCATCGATCTAAGCAATTGGAAAACGATGACATGCATCAACCAGGTCAGCGAGCCTGACCACCTGATCCCGTTTGTTGCCTCTTACGACCAGCATAGTCGCCTTTTTTGACAAGCATAGTCGCCATTTACGACCAGCATAGTCGCCTTTTATGACAAGCATAGTCGCCTTTTACGACCAGCATAGTCGCCTTTTATTACAAGCATAGTCGCCTTTTATGACAAGCCTAGGTTACTGACGACCTATTATAACCCGGATGTTCACGTGTCGATAACAGTGATCATCATGTATGATGTCAAGGTAATGCAATGTGCATAAGCATACCGAAGATGTAAAAAGTGGCATGGTCTTGGTACACTTTAAGACAGTCGTGAGAGATTGATCATTATCAAACATTGCCGCTGAGTGAATTTAGGGTCATCAAGATGACAGCTAGCCACAAACGTGTGAGTATGGCGTGGGAAAGAGGCCAGAATATATCGAGATTCTCAACCCTTGAAGATCCGTGGTAGAATAGGCCTGCAGCAACCTTGTCGTGCGAGGCGACTAACGGGATCGGGTGGTCAGGCCTTTCGATTTTTCGATTCATTTTTGCGATCACGATACTTTTTCAAAAGCAAACATTTGAGAAGATGTGTTTTATATAGCCAGATAAACCTTTACTGGGGACATTTGTTAATGTTTGTAATCAGGAAATACAACTGACGTAGAGCATGTGCACGTGTCTATCGTCTCAGTTCATTATTGAATTGCGGTTTAATCTCGACAATCCGAGAATTGTAAACTAATATCTCCTTACATATTCTGCTGGTACAATCTGAACCTTCCTGTATGCTTCTTTCTTACTGGGTGGTATGATGTAGTACTGTTGTAAGCTATTATCATCCACAAGCAAAGCGTTAATTGTCGTATGTTAGGAAATTGTGTAGCCTTATATTAAAAGTGGTCTTCTCGACGGCGAACGGGGCGTGAATTATTCGTGTCGCGATCGAGGGGATGTTTGTTTTGAACAGTAGTGTACATATGTTTTTTTTGCAGTGAACTGGTAAACTGAATATGCTGTGGTCAGCACTTTTCAGGGTCACCTGACACTGTACGTAGCTGCGCATAAAATCATGACAAGAACATAAAACTGCAAAACCAAATCAAGATCACATGTATTTCCGTAATTGTTTGACTTAGTGACAATGCAAAGACGAAGACAACTGAATCGCTTCTTTCTTTATACAAATAATTGATCTTAGGATGTAGATTTTAGCCAACGAATCAAAGACAAAGACATGATCGAACCAACAATATCGAGTAGTATGAGGGTGCCCTGAACATAATCGAGTATTGACTAGACAAACCAGTGATTGATATTATGAGCAACGCCCGGGAACGATGATCCAAAATGAAGCAAGTCAGTCGCCTCTATCAACCATTGGTTGCAAAGACCTTACTTAACCCGGATCAAACTGACCAAGGCTGTCAGCGTATCTTACACATACAACCAGGCTAAATAGACAGTTGCCCAGTCTAGTGTGTGTCCGCACAGTATGTAGCGTATCACGACCGAACTGGTATCTTTGGCTATTCTACTCGTCACAGAGACCAAATTGCTTTTAACAAATATTCATGTCTCTTTGTAAAATAAATGATATTGTATTAGTAAGGCTGCATCAATATATTGAGATGGAAGCATTGGCTTCCTGTAAACAGGGCGATGACACACAGCCAGATGACCAACTGTGCCTACGCACACCATGTGGATGCGGATATCTGAGGCAATCTGTGAAACGATGTGAACGGAATTAACTCGAAATTAAGAATATCGGTTACGTTTCGGCGCAGCGAAGCATCGTTTAAGCTCAATAGAAGGTATAACTAAAGGGGAAAAAATTCTTAAATTTGAAAGAAAATCACTCTTCTTAATTCAGCACACACACAGCCTACATTCATGCTACATGCCAAGAGAACAACCAAACTCAATCAAACAACCAGTGAAAAGTTTTACGCCGCTTGACATCGTATGACACCATATTTCAGTTATATCAATACCTGTCAGCTTGAAGTGGGAGTATTTCAGTTATTGCACGGAGTGTCAGCTTGATGTGGGAGTATTTCAGTTATATCAATACCTGTCAGCTTGAAGTGGGAGTATTTCAGTTATTGCACGGAGTGTCAGCTTGATGTGGGAGTATTTCAGTTATATCAATACCTGTCAGCTTGAAGTGGGAGTATTTCAGTTATTGCACGGAGTGTCAGCTTGATGTGGTAGTATTTCAGTTATATCAAGGAGTGTCAGCTTGATGTGGTAGTATTTCAGTTATTGCACTGAGTGTCAGCTTGATGTGGTAGTAATTCAGTTATATCAGGGAGTGTCAGCTTGATGTGGTAGGATTTCAGTTATATCAAGGAGTGTCAGCTTGATGTGGGAGTATTTCAGTTATTGCACGGAGTGTCAGCTTGATGTGGTAGTATTTCAGTTATATCAAGGAGTGTCAGCTTGATGTGGTAGTATTTCAGTTATATCAGGGAGTGTCAGCTTGATGTGGTAGGATTTCAGTTATATCAGGGAGTGTCAGCTTGATGTGGGAGTATTTCAGTTATATCAAGGAGTGTCAGCTTGATGTGGTAGTATTTCAGTTATATCAGGGAGTTACAGCTTGATGTGGGAGTATTTCAGTTATATCAAGGAGTGTCAGCTTAATGTGGGAGTATTTCAGTTATATCAGGGAGTGTCAGCTTGATGTGGGAGTATTTAAGTTATATCAAGGAGTGTCAGCCTGATGTGGGAGTATTTCAGTTATATCAGGGAGTGTCAGCTTGATGTGGGAGTATTTAAGTTATATCAGGGAGCGTCAGCTTGATGTGGGAGTATTTCAGTTATATCACGGAGTGTCAGCTTGATGTGGTAGTATTTCAGTTATATCAGGGAGTGTCAGCTTGATGTTGGAGTATTTCAGTTATATCACGGAGTGTCAGCTTGATGTGGTAGGATTTCAGTTATATCAGGGAGTGTCAGCTTGATGTGGTAGTATTTCAGTTATATCAGGGAGTGTCAGCTTGATGTGGGAGTATTTCAGTTATTGCACGGAGTGTCAGCTTGATGTGGTAGGATATACACCCATGTTCCTACACACCTATGTTCCTACACACCCATGTTCCTACACACCCATGTTCCTATACACCTATGTTCCTATACACCTATGTTCCTAATCACCCATGTTCCTACACACCCATGTTCCTACACACCCATGTTCCTACACACCTATGTTCCTGTACACCCATCTTCCTATTCACCTATGTTCCTAAACACCCATGTTCCTAAACACCCATGTTCCTACACACCCATCTTCCTATACACCCATGTTCCTACACACCCATGTTCCTACACACCTATGTTCCTACACACCCATGTTCCTACACACCCATCTTCCTACACACCCATCTTCCTACACACCCATCTTCCTATACACCTATGTTCCTAAACACCCATGTTCCTACACACACATGTTCCTACACACCCATGTTCCTACACACCCATGTTCCTACACATCCATCTTCCTATACACCCATGTTCCTACACACCCATCTTCCTACACACCCATCTTCCTATACACCTATGTTCCTACACACCCATGTTCCTACACACCCATGTTCCTACACACCCATGTTCCTACACACCC